CTGTTCCTGATTGATGAAAATGACTTGCCTCAGACTCCTCTGTGGTGACTCCTCGTGTTTAGTGAGACAGTTATATCTCCCTCCTGTCTTTCCTTTAAGCTGCACATGCCATGGCCTCATTACTTATCCCTATCCTCAGGTTTATTTTTTTTTTCCATACTGAAGTTCCACTCTGAATTCTTCCCAAGTCTTTGGCTGACACTGGACAAGAACTGAATGCCAGCTTTTCCCCAAACCTGAGACAGTGCAGTCAACCTGAAAGCTCCACGTGACCCTTTCTACTCACATGCCACGACAAAAGCAGGCTGCCAGCTCTGAATGCTGCTAAAACCAGGATGAGCTGTCCAAATCACTTCCACTGCCTGCCTAGAAATTCCCAGATTACATATGTGTATGCTGGACTGTGCCTCCTTAACTACAGAGCTCCCTGATGTGAAACTATTCACAGTGGTTGGATGATCCCACTTTTAACTGGACATGTCACATACGTATTTAGCCATCAGCCCATCCTCCTCTCATTCCCCTGTAGCCAGATCAGGAAATCACTAACAAAGAACACAAACAACTTTTGTACCTGTCATTAACTGCCCTACTGAAGAGGCAATTCCACTAGTGCTGGTTTGCCTTTTCAGATGTAAACATCGCGTGAAGGAAGAGAAAGAAAATCTGGAACTAAAGCAGGAGTTCCAGATATAGAGGATACAGATACAGAACTAGGTGTAGAACTGACAAAACTATGTAAGTACACAGAACCCTTTACAGGATTGCTGAAAAGGCAGAATTCATAAGGAAAAAGGGAAAACATGACATTCCCAATCATTGTTTCCACAGGGACTGGGTCAGTGGTGAGGTTGAAGTGAAAGGATCAGCAGGTAAAGGACAACTTTGAGAGACAACACAGCTCATCATGATAGAGATCGTCACAAAGGTGACTTAAAATCAAATAAAAATGTCTTGTATAAGTTCAACAGCAAACTGACCTCTAAAAAGTCCAAATTTTGGGCCTCTCCTTGCAAAGCTCAGCCAATCTGACACCATCACACTTCATTATTTCAGGCTCCTCAAACCAATTTACTTAAGTTACTCATTTTCCCCTAAATGACTGCAGAAGAAACAAAGATATATGCCTCATTACTGCAAGCTTTGTTGCCTGTGTTAACAAATCACTGAAAACCTGTATTGCTGTGCCAGCCTACATAAAAACAAGGCAGAATCCCAAAAAATCTTGAGTAGGCTTGTAACAACAGAGCAGTTTTTAATACCTGCTACAGGATTACTTGGATACTAACTATTGCAATACTGGGACTCAGAAAGGCACTAACAGATTTAAGTTATTACCCTAAAACCCAACTGAGCAGCATCAGAAATGCCTTCTGAAACCACAGTACTTGTTGAGACAGGGCTGATATCCCAAAGGATCTAGGACTTTCTAATGAGAAATGCAGATGGAAGTGCATCCATCACCCCTTCTCCATAAAATCCAAACCAGACAGTAACTGTATTGGCACTGGCCATGAAATCAGGAATTTCCAGGATAAAGAAGTTGCTCCCCCATCACCTGTCACAGAACAGACACAGAAAATACGGAATTTTTCAGATGACAGCAATGGTGTCTCGTACCTTTGCCACAATCTTACAGAATCCCATTTTACTTTCCTTGGAACACCTTTTTCTTGGGAGGGACACATTGGGGCATCCTGAATCCTTGGGTAAGAGGAAAAATATGGAGACTAAATCAGTGCTATCAGCAGGTTTTGGGTTGCCTTGCAGGAGTGACAGACACAGAGAACAAAGGGCTCACTCATCTCTTCCACATGCGCCTCCAGAATCGTAAAAAGATTTAGGCTGGAAGAGCCCCACAGGCTGGCTGGGAATCCTTTTGGTCCACCAAGGACACAGGAATATCTGGGACAGGCATTTACAAGGTGAAATAACATAAATGATGATGTCAAGTTCTATTCATCTTCCAGACTCACAGAGATCTTCCACTCAAAAACCAAAGAGTGAGCCCAACACCACCTGTCCCAAGGGGACACGTGAGGGCTGCAGAGCCTGTCCAGACAAACTTGTCACTGTTTGTTGAGGTAAGCCACAAGAAAAAAGGATTTCTGGTTCTAGGAGCTTGCCATTTGCTGGGCTGTTTCCTGTAGCTCAGCCTTAGCTAAGCAGAGCCACCCCATAACCCAAAAAACTGACCACAGATTTCTCCAAGTAGCCAAAACCCAAAAGGCTGAAATAAGGTGTTAAAAGCTTCGCTTTTACCTCTGGCTGTGGTTATTTTCCTCATCCTTCCCTTCCTGCAACTGAGTTGACTGCTGAGTCTCCATAAAGTGATGGAAAACACATTCAAAAAGAAAGTAAAAAAAAAGCAGAAGAGAAGAAGAAAACACCAGGCCATGGTTATTTAAACCTGCTGTCAGCACTTCAGCCATAAGGAACATTGAAATGTTCAGGGCTTTGTCTGAGTTAATTCCTCTGTGAGAGTTTCTGCTGAATCTTAGCAAGAAATAAGCATGGATATTTTGATTTTTAAAAAAATGAACAAGAATCAGTGAGAGGAAAGATAAAGTGGGTTCAGATGGTCAGAAACTATTGTTCCACCTTCAGTCAGCAGAAAAGAGCTCTAGTATGAACTGCAGCAATGCCTGAATCCTGAGCTGAAGGAAAAAGAGCTTTAAGACAAAGGTCTTTCATAAAGTAGCTTTTTTATTTTGGAAGAGACAAAGCCAGCAGCCCAGTTTGAGAACAAAAGCTCCAGGTCACCTGGGGGCTGCACCAGCCCCAGGAGATTCTTCAGACCTGCACTTCCCCAAGGACTTCCCCAGAGCTCTGAACATGAACAGAAACTGGGTTTCAAATCAACATCCCAGCTTCAGACCATGCTCCAGTTTTCCTGAGCCAGCAAAGGATGAGTAAATGAGGGAACAAGAGTTCAGCTGGGCATCACTTCTCACATTTTCCTGATTTACATGGGCCAGGGTAAACCCTTCTCTTCTCAAGAGACATCTCATCTCTGAATTAGCATGCTGAGTTCATTAGGGCACTCCCTGGGAAAAGAACAACACAAACCCACCAGACACTGGTGTGAAAAGCTCCTTAACTGTGAACAAACACATCGAATGTGAAGCAAGGAGAAAAGGTGGGAGATCATGTCAAAAGAGATAAAAGCTGAAGTGGAGGGAAGCCATGCTGAGGACAGAAATAGGCCTGTTTTGCCTAAATGAATGGGAGCTATGAACAGGAAAATCAGGGCTTTAGTAGCATGAACTCAGGGAAAAGTTAAGTTTGGCAGAACAGAACCATCAGTGTTTCAGTGGAAATGAGTATCAGGAATGCTAAGCACAGCCTGGTGCTGTGCTCAAGGGTGCTGGTAGGGAGTCAGTAATGATGCTTTTATGATATTTGGTAACTTATCCAGACATAAATATCTTTTATTGTCCCCAGTTATAAATAACCTGTTAGACAAGCAGCTACTATTAGCCAGGAAGATGCACAATTGACTGGAATAATCAAAAATAAAATTGTGACAGCAGGAAAAGAAGAACAAGTACCATGAAACTGAAAAGAAAAAAAAAATCGCCATTGCTTCTTAATGAGGGAAGTGGGGACCCGTGGAGGGAGCAGAGGGTCAGGAATACTTCAGTGCCCACCCCTGGAGTGAATATGGCAGTGGAAAATCAGGGCATATAGAATAATCTCTGCTTCTTTTGCCTTTACATTCAAGTTACAGCTGATGTTTCTTCACCTTAAAAAGTATTTTACTCCTTTCAATTTGCGGAGGCACTGAGGAACTGTCTGAGTTCACAAAAAACATTGTATTCAAGCAGCCTACTCCCTCCCCCTGCAAAGGCAGGGCCACAACACCTGCTTTAATGGCCATGAGATGAAGGCAGTGAACTGGACAATTGCCTTCACAAAAATAAAATAATCAGTCCTCGGGTCAGTTTCTTACTTGGATTTGTAAATTCCAAATAAAAAAGGGGATAAATTCAGTTTCAAATTGCAATGACTGACTTGATAAGAACTTAATAAAATGCTGATCACACAACCTGAGCATGTGAGCAATAATACACCAGACTGAAGTGACAGAGCTCTGAATACTGTTGAATAGGCTGGGGGGCATCTTCTTGTGCACTAATCCTGATTTCCAATGCAAATAAAAGCCTGGCTTTGCTCAAGCCAGGTTGAACCTTGCAGCCTGATGCAGTGATGGGCACCATTTCCAACTGAGTCAGCTCTGCCTGGGAGCTGAGACTGACCAACAAGTCCCCTGTTGCTCTCCTTGTACTGATTTTATACAAAAGACCCAAATTTTGAAGGGTGATGCTTAAATTTAGGTTATGTGACTAGGAGCAGGAGGCTGGGAGCTGCTGTTAAAACTCAGGGTAATGCAAATTAAAGAGGAGGTTAATTCAGAAGAGAGGGACAACATTTCTTATAAAACATCCAGGAGTGAACAACAGAGGTCACATAATAGAGACCACTTATTTAGGAGGATTCAAACAAGCCTTGAACATTTCCCAACAGAAACAGAATAATGAAGCAAACAGAAAAGGTGAGGACAAAAGCAGAGATGAAGAGTTTTGGGAATGTTATAAATCCTGGCCTTTTAGGGCCCAGCTCACTGATTAGGACTGAGACCAACTTTCCTCAGCAAGGTAGCAACAGGTCACTCACAGCCTCTGTTGTTTTTCCCTTTAATCACCTCAATCATCTCCATCAGCAGTGCCAAGGCAACAGTCAGGCTTTTGGAGGGACACACACCCAGGATGTGCCAGCTGCTGCTCCAACTCCACAAGAGCAGCCCCCAACAAATGCTGGAGATGTTCCTTAAACACTGAAATGCTCATCAGGAATTTAACAGGTTGGATCTGCAAGTCACAGCTGCAGAAATTCCCTCTGTACCCTTCCCAGGCTCTTACTCCTCCTCCAAAAGCCCCACTCTGCAGCACAATCCCTGCTGCACTGCCCTCCCCCGTACAAATAAAACCACCCCAAACCTCAAGCTTCAGAATATCGTGCTGCAGCTTGCGCTGGAAGTCCAGGAAGTGGGAGATGGTCAGCTTTCCCTTCAGATCAGCCCCGAAGAAGTAGGTGGTGAGGGCGGAGTTGAAGCCGGTTTTGAGGGTGTTGCCGGTGGTGGAGCGGTCCCGGTGGCGCATGCCCATGCTGGTTTGGGAACGGATGATGCTCTGCACCTAAAATAAAAAATCACAGGGAGGATGTCACAATCAAAACCATACCAGTCAGGTGCTAGCATGAAGTACTCCACACTCAGCTCACCTTCCTTTCTTTTCCTCCTAAAATAATTCTCAGAAGACACAGCAATTCAAAAATTTGGCTGAATTTAAGAGAATCACAGAATAATTCGGGCTGGAAGTGACCTTAAAGACCATCTAGTTCCAAAACCCTTCCATGGGCAGGGACACTTTCCAATAGGCCAGGCTGCTCCAAGCCCTATCCAACCTGGCCTTGAGCACCTCCAAGGATGAGTCCACAGCCTCTCAGGCTTTGGTTTTTTCAGGCTACTTAAAGAAAGAAGAGAATCAAGAGCTTAAAATGACTTTTAGGAAACAATTCAGCCAGTTTGCAGACAAACATTCTAGTGCTGATCCTACCCCTGGTCAGCAGAGCAGCTCCTTCCCAGCAAAATCCCAGGAGGTGAGAAAACTGCAGCAATTGTGGGGAAGAAAAAACTCTTCAGACGTTTCAGAGCTTCAACTCCTTTAATGCCCATCCTTGTGAGCTCACAGCACATTTCTGCCCACCCGTGCACAAATCCTGGGGTTTTCAACCCAAGGGCACCCTCTCCTTGTCTCTGTCACAGCTGGAAGTTCCTCCATCCCTGGGGCTGTGCCACCCAGCACAAAAGGCTCTTCAAAAGAACTTCCCTAGCCCATAAAAGGTGCCAAAAGGTTGACCTTGAAAGATGTGACAGCCTGAAAATCTGAGAGTGTGTTATTTTAAGGGTTCTGTGCAAATTTAGGGGGGCAGCCAAGCCAAATGCAGCCATCTCCTCTCTCCATCCTCAAGTATGTCACTGAACTCTCCAAGTGCATCTGAGTGATTATTGCTGGGATATGAGAAGCCAGGCTTATTCTCTGTGTAGTAACTGATCTCTTCCAACAAGGCAGCAAAAGGATTCATATTAAGGACAAGTCTGAAAAAGGAGGGGAAAAAAGCCACCTGACAACCCAGGCTTCCCAAAGCTCCAGTAAACACCACTGCTTTGCCATCAGCCTCTTCCCTCTGCCGACAAAAGTTGGAAGGGAAGAAGAAAAGCAGCTGCCAAGAGCTCCAGCTGTCACAAAGATGCCAGAACTTCATTATTGTGGTATTCAGTGTGTTCAAATTTTTCCTAATGAGAGAGTGAGTGCTGGAGCAGCCCCAAAGGAGATGCTCTAGAGGAAAAAGGTGTGCTGTTGCTGCTGGGTTCACCTTGCTGGAAACTCTGCATCCCAACCAGAGACTGCTGGCTGTTCTTCCACGAGGAAAATCAAGTTGAGGAGAAAATCAAGAGGAAAATAGCACAGAAAAGAGGTTTTGAGGCTTTTTGGCCGCTCTGATGTGAGGAAGGATGTGGGGCGACCTAATTGTGGCCTTCCAGTGCCTGAAGAGAGCCTGCAAGAAACATGGAAAGACTATTTACAAGGGTAATGACTTTACACTGAAAGAGAGGAGCTTTAGACTAGGTATTAAGAGGAAATTCTTCTCTGTGTGGGTGTGAGGCCATGGCAGAGGCTGCCCAGAGAAGCTGTGGCTGCCCCATCCCTGGAAATGTTCAAGGACAAGCTGGACAGAATCTGGAGCAACCTGGGATAGTGGAAGGTGTCCCTGCCCATGGCAGGGAGGTTGGAATGAGATGATCTTTAAGATCCCTTCCAATCCAAACTGTTCAGAAATTCTGATTTTTTTCCCTGTAAATAGCAATTCTTTAGTTTGCTTTGTGCTACACTGTTAACTGTGAGCTCTGCATGCAGCAAAGTTTGGAGACAAATATTTATAAACTGTCTGAAGCAAGGCATTTTATGGCCAGCTTGGAAAACTGCCCCTGTTTCTATGTGAGTGTTTACCACTCTGCAGACTGCTCCACAGAGCAGCTTCTCCTGGGTGTAATTTATATGGAATCCTATGGCTCTCTTTTCCTCTCCCATATATAACAAGTGTCAGACAGGTTGAAAATCCAACTGTGGGCACTGGAGCCAAAATGATTTCACCAGTCCCTGTTTTGAGTAATCCTTTTAATGCCCAGAAAGGCAGGCACCACTGCAAGGAGCTACCCTAATCCACAGCTCATCAACTGCACAAGGACATGGAGCTCTGAGATGCTCCACTGGTTTTTGGTTCGTATTTTCTTACTTCTTCCCCAAATGTCAATCAATGTGAAACCACCACATTGCCTAAGTGTTTGTGATGTTTCATCTTTTGTACCAGATGAGGGGGGGAAAAAAAATCAATTAAAATAGTTAAAGACTTGAAGAGAAATCACCAGTAACACTGTCTGCGAGCTTTCTATTTTACAGCAAGCTTTTCTTTAAAAATAAAGGAGTAAACTAACAATTTACATGGCAAAGGATGAAGGATTGAAGGCAACACTGATGCAGGCACCACTATATTCAGGACTGAGCACTAGCCAGATGCCTCAACTGGATAAAAAAACCTAAAACTCTTTACAAGGCCTGAAGAAATTCAGTATTTTTTTATTACGTATTTAAAGCCTCCAACTTAGTCACATATCAGCTAAATTACTGAATTAATTTTCCTTCCTGATGAGGTTTTCAAACATCAGTTAAGAAGAAGGACCTGCTGTTGGCTGCCTCCGAAGACAAGGTGTGAGGGAGGAGTAGGAAGTTCATTCCCAAGTGCTCACAGCCAGCAGGAATGGAATGATGCTTCCATGATGGTCCTTTTCTTACTCCTCTTTTTCAACCCATTCTCCCCAAAATGATGTTGCTTTTTTAAACCCCTGAGAGGGCCAGTTCCAGCTGCTCCTGCCAGGTGAGATTTACAGGATAAGGCTGCAAACCCTGCCATCCTTCATGATCTCCCCTAGGCATTTCCACAAGGAGTGAAAAAGAGGATTTATCTTACAAACAATTGTTTGGAACGTTATGTGTTTGCATAATGAGATATATGTGCCTCCCACTGCAGCTGTGTTTGTTCTTGCAGCAAATCAGTATCTTCACAGGTAACTTCTCACTTTCCAAAACAGCTCCTTCATCCTCTGACTCTCAGGCTCTGGAGGATGAGCCTTCACCCAAATACTCTGATACTAACCAGGAACTTTATTCTTTTCTATACAGGCAGTGACATGTGTAACCAGCTTAACAAAAATACCTTCCCCTTCCTAAGGAGGTTTATGTGACTTAGTGCATGTGTAACTTCCCCTGGCCTACTGGACGATTTGAAATGATTTAAATCAATTTTGTACCCTCATCTTCATAGTGATTAGGAAACATTTATCCTGTAGAAATGTTCCTTTTTCACTTTACTTGGCTCTAATAAAAAAGCCAAACATGACGTCTGTGTTAGCACCTTGGTATCACCGCATTTTTAGTAGGAGGTTAATCTTTCTCTGCTTTTCTTAAATTCATCTATCTCCATAACTGATTTCATTCTAGAACATTACAATTACCATAAATCACCTTTTGGACTGTTCAATATGGTGACACAGCTGCAGTGGAGGGCTATGTCCATGCACTGTGCAGACAGAAGGAAGAACAGCAATTTTTCCTTGGGGAAAGGAAGGGACACGAACAAAACCCCAGGTTTACATTTCAAGCTGTCAAGTGAAGTGATATCAGACTGCAGATGAACACACTCAAGTCTCCTCATAGTCCAAAGTGTGCATCCAAAACCCTGCACTTACCCAGTTATATTCCATGGCTCTGGAGCAAGCTCATCATACCCACAGGTAATAATTTAAGGAGGATGACAGCAAAAGATTAGAAAGGGAGGGCAATTCAACAAACCTCCTTTGCCAGTAGTTCTTCCCATTTATAGCAAGTGCCCCAAGCATGACCTTGTAGAGACTCTTCTGCAGTTAATTACTCATTGAGCCAACTGATGAGTAAGAATCTGTCCCTGGATTCTCCAGGGCTGCTTTGTTCTTGGGTAGCACTTTGTAAATGGATTTGAATTTCCTTTTATGAATAGCACACACAGGTGATTCAGGATGTGATTTCAGGGTGTTTTGTAAGTTCCCAATATCTTAAGGCTAGAAAGAGACAAGAAAAATCACACTCTTCTGCCTGGGGAGGGCAAATCTTTTCCCCACTGACAGCTCAAGCCTTCAATCTATTCTCACTAGGACATAACCATAAATCACAGCTTATAGGAAGAGCTCACCAGTACCAGACATGAAGGCTAAACTCATTAAAAAACCTGCAGCAAAGTCCCTGTTGATGAAGCCTTGTAAGAAGTAGAGGACTAATGAAAATATGCTCTCAATAACACGTTTTTGGATTACACTGGAGTAAGTGGATAAATTCTCCTCTGAAGCAGACTTACCTTGGCTATTCTCTAAAGACAAAATTAAAGAATGCAGTAGAAGCTGTGAAGGCAGTAGGATCAAAATCCCACTTTATCAGGGGAGTGAAAAAAGTTCTTTGTCTACCTTGAAGGTGACTTTTTGTATGGAAATGTTACAGAATCATAAAATGGTTTGGGTTGGGAGGGACCTTAGAGCTCATCCAGTTCCACCCCTTGCCACAGGCAGGGACACATCCTCCAAGACCAGGCTTCTCCAAGGCCCACCCAGCCAGGCCTTGAATGTTGGTGAAAATGTCACAGGAAACCTGAGTTTGTACTGCTGGTTGAATGAAAAATTTTCTCTTGAAATATCCAGTTTAAAAACAAACAGCAGGCACTGAAGCAACACAGCAGAGCACAGAAGGAAAAGGTGCAAACCAGCACTAAGCACAAATACAAAAGGCAGTAACATCAGAGAAGAATGCTGTGCTTATGGCTAAGATGCCACAGCACTGATTGTTCAACTTGCCTGCTCAAACTCTTCCATGTCCACCTCGCCGTCACCGTTCAGATCGAACATCTTAAAGGCAATTTCAAAATTCCTCTGGGGAGCTGTATGAAAAACCCAACAAAACACAAAAAACAGTCAGCAAAGATACAAAAGCTCAGTAAAAAAAGGGCACAAGTTCTGAATGACTTTATCCAAAAGCAATTTTGCCTAATTCCTTCAATTCTAATAAGGAAATGCGGCTCTTAGGAACCTCTAGCTAAGGGCTTCATGGTGCTGCTTTTACCAATAGTCTTGACAAGGAATTGTGAGGAAGAGATATTTCTGAAAAATTTATTTATTTACAGATTTTATAAATCTGAAAGATTTATTTACAGGTGGGAAAAGCTGGAAAGGAAGATGCCATCTGATATTTCTAATGACAACTAACAGAAAATGATGCAGCAAAAAGCTCCAGCCTGTTCCATGCAGTCGAACACCAGAGGATGTTCCTCAGGCACTGCACTCTCTGTGCTTCCCATGGGTGAGGAGCAGACCTGGAATCTGGGCAGTTCTCAGCTCTTGCCTCCCTGTACAAATTTAAATAAATCATGACCACCCTGTCTCAGCCCAGTCATGACACTGAGATAAGATGTGGGCTGGAGCTCATGAGCTGAGACGCCGCTGTACCTTATTTTTCACTGCATTTAGTCTGTGCTGTCACGGTTTATTTAGTCAGAACTGCAAAAGCATCCCTTTCCCAGCCAACCATGCTCCTTTTCCCTGCATCCCACCACAGAATTTCAGTACATTTCCATTTTGGGCTCTGTAACCCATCGCTGTTTGAAGCTACAACGCCGCGCCACAATTTTTTCCCAAATTAAGTTAATATATCAGGATTTATCATGCTCTGCTACTTTCAAATACACACCTCCTACAGGATTTGTGGTGTTTGCTGGGATTTCTAGGGAATCCTCTAGGCTATAACTAATGCTAGGGCTGTCATTTCAAATGATCAGTTAAAACCTAGCTCCTTTTTTAATTTCCCACCCAAATCTAACACAGATCACTGGTGAGGTTCACCCCTCTTTAACCTCATCTGTGCAAACAGCTCTTAATATTTCCTGTGGATGCTCCAAGAGTAATGAGTTTTTGCATCCACCCTCCTGTGGGAAGGGTGTTCCCAGATGGGGATGGGAGAGGGGAGACAAAGAGGAATCACTCAGAGAAAAAGAAATTAATTAACTGAACTGGATTTTGGATGTTTGTTACAGCTCCAGCTCAAAACTTTCACATTGTGTTTTCCCCTTGCTGCAATAACGATTACCACTTTATCAGGAAAAGATTGAGCAGACAGGCTAATGAGACCCCTTTTCCCAACCACTTTGTGCCCAAAATAGATGAATTAAGGGCATTGGGGCTGATGGCAGGGACAGCCTGTCACTACCTGCTTGATATACGCAGCACACGTGGTCCTGCCCTTATCATCCCTGCATTTCCAATTTCCCCTGCCAATTACTCGGGCTTGGAATTCCAGACACCACGTGCAGGAGCAACATCTGTGACCAGAGCCAGGGCCAGCAGCACGTGGTGGGTCATCCCCCCTTCCACCCACATCCCTCCTGCCTGCTGGGAGCGGGAGACCTTCACTCGCTGTCCCTCTTTAACTCAGTGTTAATTGACCTGGGGACAGCCAGTTCCCAGCACCACCTTCCTAATCTCTCCAATGATACATCAAATTTAAGGGATTAAGCCTCCTCTGTATCCATCCAGCGTCTCCAGTGATTAATTTCCCATTTTCTTGAAGAGCAACAAGCTTCCAACTGCCCCCTTAATAGTTCAGTAACACATGCAATTTCATTCATTTTAATTGCAAGCACTGAATGAAAGTCTGGAGCAGTTTCTTCTTATTAGCCCCAAAATCTGGCACTATGGAAATGGTGCTTCCTCTATGAGGAAGAGGAGGAACAGACAAAACTCTCATCTAGTTACAAGGTTCTACAAAAAGAGCAATCAACACCTATTTCTTATCCCATTTTCTCTACCAGAGTATATTGATGTTTATTTAAAGACTGGAAAATCTGTTACTCCTTGTGAAAAACTGTCACAGGTTGGGCTTTTTTTCCCACCTTTTTAAAGGAAATATATAATACCATTTGTGCAGACACACAGTGAACAGAGTAAAATAGTCACTTGTTCCTCACAATGGCCATTTCTCTCCTTTTCAATCTCTAAACACACATTTCCATGAGCAGTGTATCAAAGCCCCAGAGGAGAACAACACCTCCAAAATTTAAATGAGCAGTTCAGCATCAACGATCTGCAGGGTCAGTATTTTCTAAAGGCAGGGAAGGGTAGCTTTAAATTGGCAAATTCAATTACTTCATTCCTTCAGCTAATAAATGGCATGGCTAGTTTCATCCTTTGATCTACATATCCAGCTCCAATTACCTGTAATGACACTTCAATCCAAACAATGTGACCCTGAGCCAGGGGAACCAGAGGGCACCCAAGCCAATTAGCTCATCCCACTCCTGCTCAGGAAGGAATTTTCATTAGAGATGCACACCCCTGATGTCCAGGATTGGATTTATGGGGTCTGGGAGAGACGATTTCTGCCTCTCCCCTCGGTTGTGATGCTTCTGACCAGGATTTATGTGGGAAGAGTTGCCCTGACAGCGGCCAAGCCCATTACCTCAGCCTGCACAACATCCATTTCCCTTCCTCTTCCTGCACTTACATCCCTCAAACTTACAGACCACAAAAGCAGCAGATACCAGATTGCCCAGCTAAATGCAGCCTTTCCCCTACTCTTTTATTTTGCCCCCCAATTTTACCATTCCCAACTGCAGCGTCTCTAAATTTCCCTGCTGCCTCCTTAATTAAGATCCCTGCAAACAAAACAAACCTCATGCAGTGGCTTCCAAAGCCATTCAAAGGACTGTTTGGTTTTCATATGGCATGATGCTTGTCTTGATAAGGGAAAACCACCTCTGGATTTTCCCCAAGTGCTCTGTTGCATTCCCAGCTCTCTCTGATTGTGTGAGCTGTCTCCTCCCCATCCTTTTTGGCTTTATTAAAAATAGAGACTGTTTTGTTGCAACTGATTTCCCTTGAGCAACGAGGCAGAAACTGAGCATGGCAACCAATGGCAGTTAATTTTTTAGCTTTATTTCTCTCTTTAGATGTTCCAGGGGATCCTCCAAATCATTAACATGGAAGCATGGAATGATTTGGGTTGGAAGGGACCTTAGAAATCACCTATTTCCAATCCCTTTCATTAGGCCAACATGAGTGAAAACATGGTAGTGAAGCCAACACCACTATCAGTGAGTTCCTAGCTTGGAGATACAGGGAAAGATGCAGTTGAAATGATCCTTTGGATCTGTAATTCTACCAGTTCTCCATGCCAAGCCGCTTTTTCAACTAAGCCAGATTTAGTAAAAAGGGCAATTAACATTTTTTCTTAATTCATTTGTTCCAACCAAATATCTGGGGACAGAAAGAGAGCAAGTAAAGCAGGAGCCAAACACAGGAATGTTAGAGAGATGAGTGTCCTCCACCAGCAAACAAATAACAGGCAGCAGCACTGACCACATGGAAAAAACCCACTCAGATCCATCAGGGTAGAGCCCTCGGGAATGAGATGGGTTGATTAGGCATCTTTAAGCCAATTATGCCATTTTAAACTATTTTCAATTATTCAATGGACCAATTTGCAGCACTCAATTGCTCTTTAGTGCCCTGTACTCTCAGCAGAAGCAATGCACTCTGAAAGACATTAAAAGGTTGTTGATGAGAAAGGCCCCATTTCCTTAGTTTTGTGCTTGTTTGGGATCTTCTCTTTCTCAAAAACTCAACATTCCACACTTGGAGACACCTCTCAGCATATCTTTCCCTCTGACCTCCAGCAGAGGAACTGCATTTTAGGAAAACAGAAGTTTTAATGCACTTTTGGAGAATACACATTGCTCTCTTCTCACAGAGCTGGGAATTTCTTTGCCAAAGGTGATTTTGTGGTGATGTTACTTAAAAAAAATAAAACTTCTGGCTATTCCTTTGAAAACACTGGAATATCTCGTGATTTGGTGGGAATTTATACACAAAGCAGCTCGTGACTCCCAAGGCTTAATAACTCCCCAAGCAACTCCAGAGTGGGAAGAAAGATCAAGAACTCAGCTGGGAAAAATCAGTCACTTGGAGTTAAATATCCTATGGTTGCTTCTTTTCCATTTCTCCCAAAATTAAAAAAAAAAATAGATGTGAGAAGGCCACAGTATCCTGAAAGTGAATCAATCCCAAATTAACACAGCCCTGAAGCAGAGACAGCTATCCATAGAATACAGATGGCTGAGCCCCAGCTGCAGTAAATATAGGGGAAAAAAAACATTAAACTTAATGTTGCAGATATTTTCCTTTCAAATTATTCCATCATTTCAGGAAATGAATCCAAATCACACCAAGTTGGGGTTTTTTTTTAATGTTAATCAACCCAGAAATGTAAATAACAGGCAGCTAAAACACTGAGCCCACAGCACAGACACTGAGCCATAGTATCATCAGTTCTAGAGGAGAAATGGACTCTTTCTTCCCACAAAGAAGGATGAGAATTAACTTTGAAATAATGCAAGTGTGTAATCTTGGGATACAGGGGAGAAATTGCTCCCTGTTAGGGTGGTGAGGCCCTGGCACAGGCTGCCCAGAGAAGCTGTGGCTGCCCCATCCCTGAATCCCCCATCCCATCCATCAAGCCCATCACACCACACAAATCCAAGGGATGAAGAGATGAACAAAGGGAGACCAGGTGAAGGATGCAGGCTGACCGAGCCTCCCATGCCCTACTCCAAGTTTTCAAAACACTTGGCAACATCCCAAACTGCCAATTGTGAAAAATCATTCCCATTTCTGTCCTTCAAGCATGGCACAAGTGGGATGGCAAGCCAGAGAGCTCTCTCTCTGCCAGGAATCAAACAGGCTTGTGTTTGGAAGCTGGGATATTCCTTGGAAGATGCTGCTCAGAAAGGTAGGAAGACATCCCTACTCCAAACAGTGAGGATGAGATGGACCCATGGAGGGTCTTGAAAGACTGAAAATTAACATGAAGAAGACTAAAACAAACCAAAATAGTCCTATAAACCCAAAGCAACTTATGCTTGTGGAAATGAGCCCTGTGGCACAGGGCACAGTAGGATTAAACCACCACTGGTGAGGTAACTGAAGACTTTCCTGTCAGCCAGGAATAATTTATTCAGAACAGTCATGGTCCAAAGAGACCCTGGAGATCCCAGTGTGGGAGAACAAGTCCCTCCATCCCAGGGACACACACAGAGCTCAATATCTGGCTAGATCATCATTTCCAGAGTTAGATGGTTTGGAAATTATTCCCTACAAACAGGGCAGAAAAAAAGTAACAGAGGTGAATCTATCCTAAGTGAGAGTTACCTGCTCTGATGGGAGAAGGAGCTGCAGATCTGCTTTGAGACCCCTGGCAAAAGGCTAATTACTGTGGCTTCAACCAGTGTTATTTAGCCCTCCTGCCAGGAGAATTGAATCCAGACACAGCAACAGTCCAACTGTGGAAACAGCACCAATTTATTATTTTAATGCCCAGCTCTCTTCAGCACCTGTTAATGAAGGCAGAATTAGCGTGCCTCGACAATGGACCCCATTTGCTGGGAAACCACAGTCACTGGCGATGGAGAAGCTCTTTTTCTCCTTCCTCCATTTGTTTTGCAAGTTCCAAAGCAAAAACCTCTTTGGTAAGGGAAGCCATGTCTTTGTTTTCCTATGATATTCTAAGGATCCAGGGGAAATTCCATCAAAATTTGCTCATCTTTCTACCTCTGCCCCAAAAACACGAGGAGCAGCTGAAACAACAGAGTGGAGTTCCCTCAAGGCTCCTCAGCTCTCATTGCCTTTAACAGAAGGCTGACTTTCTGAAGCAGCTAAAAGCTATTTTATTAGTTGTTTTAAAAATAAATTTTCACAGAAACATGGCAACCGATGAGAACAGACAGTGCTGGAGTGAGAAATGGCTCGTAAATAAGATACGGTGACAGACTCATTTTCTGAGCAATGTGCAAACAGCTGCCTCAGAGCAAACATGAAATGAAGCCTCCAGCCCTCTCTCCTCCTCTTGCTCCCCATTTCACAGAACTCAGCTGGAGGGAGTTTCAGGTCAAACTGCAAAGACAACTGAAAGGAAGAGTTTGGGGAAGCCTTCCCAAAGCCTGGTGGAACACAACCACAATGAGCCCTCGGGGCTTCTTGTTTCCCAAGGATCTCATTGATCAGTTTGGAGTCCAATGAGCCAAACCAGACCATGATGGCTCTCTCCCCATCACTCTCCCTCCTGCCTCCCTCCCCCAGATCCAATGTCCCACTCTCCCTTCTGATTATCTTGCTTAGTGCTCAATGTGCCACCTTCCTTCCCCAATTTTTATTTAGTTTTATCTATATGATGGCAACTACAGCTCCACCATGTCCAGATAGCTCCTTAATGTTTGGGTTATTTAAACAACACGAGGAGAAAACCAATATTGAACTGTCACATTTAAGATTTACTTTCCTCATTCTATTTTATTTATTTCCTAGGGAAAAGAACCCAATCAGGAAGTACTGGATTCCTGCAAGGCAATGTTCACTGGTCAGAGAGTGAATCAGTGGGGTGCAACAGTGAGTTTTCTATTTAGCCACAGGGCAAGGTTTGCTTGGGAGTTTATTTTACAAAAGCAAATGCTTTAAAAGTGAAATCCCAACTCTTCCTCTGGGGAATCATTGTTTAACAGGAGCTCCAGAGACACTCCTCCATCTTTAGTAATCATTTAGCAAATTCCTCAAATGTCTAAAAGTCAGCCTCAAAGCCCTGGAAATTTTTTTTCTCCCTTTTTATTTTTCATTTTCCTTTTTGAAAGCTCATGCCTTGCCCACCCTTCACATGGCTCCTCCAAGCCAGCTCTGTCTCCTTATTAATCTAACTCCCCTATAATTGTGGACATGCTCAAAAGCCCAAGAATAAGAGGAAAAAAAACCTGTCCCTCCCTCACAGCCTCCCAAACAAGGCTGGCTGCTCCTCCAACACAAGATTCTCCTTTTCTTTTATTCTCACAACAAACAAGTTAAAGCAAAGCAAGAACAATTTCTCTTACTGCTGCCTGTGGAAGCACATGAAATTAATTTTGCGCCCTGTGTACTTGATTAGGGGGTTGTTCACCACCAGCACAACCATAAAAACAAGGGCAAGAGTGTTTTCCAAACCACATTCAGTAATGTGATACCAGAGGTTTGAGAGTTCATTGTCATCTGTGGAGGCTCAGATGAAAAGCCCTCGTTACACCTGAGATCATTTTGGCACAGCCCAGATGAAAGTAAGAAAGGAACAGCAAAGGTCTTAAGGGCCAGTTCTGAGACTCAGTCAAATAAAAAAAAAAAAAAAAAGCAAGCAGATTAAAGTCATAAAACAAATTCCCTGGCTTGAACCAGCTTTATCTTTCTGTTTGTTTTCACAACTTGAAGGTCACACACAAGTCTGCCCCCACCACGTCCACCTGACAACAAACAAGACCTTGCTGCTTCCCAGGAATAGATCCTCAGTAAATGAAGAGCTGCCTCTCGTGTCTCCTGTTACAACATGCAAGAACATGAGGGGAGAATAAAGCACCTGTTGCTGTGACAAAAGATCAGTGAGTAATCCAGCTGACTCCCTGAACAGCACCGGGCAGGCGGCAGTGGGCTCTGCAGGTCACTGGGAAGAATCCAGTCTTTTAATCCCACAAATCAGTTCAGCATGGAATAGATACTTACAGGATTAGATGGCCGAATTTTCTCTTTTTAAATCTGACAATAACATTTTCTAATGGGGCTGAAAAACTGCCATTGACTTTCCTGTTTATGACACAGCACCTTCCAAGCAGCCAGAGAAGCTCTGCAAATGAGGTTTTGAGCTCAACTTCCACGTGAAGAAAGTCTAGAAATGCCATTTGACATTACCAAAGGCTTCAGTTTCACTGGTTCTTGCCAGCAAAGCAAACTTTTCAGTGTTGGCACTCCAAGTGCAGACGACTTTGCTGGAACAGATTAGCAGATCATGGAAACATCGCAAATGCAAGTCAAGTGCAGCAGGGTGAAAAGACAGAAGGTATCTAATGATACTTGTTGAAATGTAAACAGCTTAACTTCCCTCCTCACTGGATTACATCACTCACAAACTCCAGCTCACCCAAGTGAAAATACAGCTGGAAAAGGGAGTTTGGAGAGGCGTGAAACCAGTGAAAAGCTGGAGATCTGTGTTCATCCAAATCCAAGAATATCACATGAACATGGCTCAAGAACGTGTCTCCATTTACAGATCTGAACAGCAGGTCAAGTGAGTCATTAAAAAAAAATTTGTCACATTTCAAAATGAGAAATAAATCTTCAGAAGTCATCGATCTGCTTGTCCTCCCGAAGCGCTGGAAACTCAGGCTAAAGCAGATGAAGCAACAGCAATTGCTCAGCTCGAGTTGCAGGCAATCAAGAAAGCCTTTTAGGGAAATGATTGTTTGTAAACCCTGAAAACTTCTGAAAAACAGGAATTGCAGGGAAAATCCCTGCTGTACTTACTGGAAAGGACCGTGGTGAGGAAGATGTAGTCGGAAAAAGAAATGAGTCCGCATTCTCCGAGCGCGTAGAAAATGCTGTCCTCGTCGGCAAACTTCTCCCTCTCCTGGGATAACTTCTGGTCATCCACCCCAGCCACACCCCAAAGAGAGGGGAAAAAGCACCAGATTAAACAGAGAAATGGAAGGCTTGATTTGTATCCTTAGCACCAACAAGCCATTCCATGGACACACACACCCCTACTACCTCCATCCATATCCAGTGGACCTTTTCCAGCTTTTGGATCTGTTCAGAAAAGTTCTGCAAAGATCGGTGCTTCCCCATCCCAAATGAGGGATAAGGAATTGCATGGGATTTGTTTGTTAGTTCAGCCCTGCTGAAATACACATAAATAAAACTGTGGCCATTTTGCTTAAAATCTTTGAGATAATTGGTAAAAAACTCCAACTTTAATACAGGATTCAAAGAGGAAATTGTTGTATTTCACTGACAGCCTTTTAGTTAGATTCTGTTGTAGAAAGGAGCCAAGAAGGGACTATTTGACATGAATATAAAGTCTGATCAAAGTTATCCAATCCCTGTGTGTGTGTGTGAGCTCACAGGGAGGACTGGGCCTGAAATCAAACTCAATCTCCCTGTTGCTCCAGTTCTTTTCCATTTATCAGCTCACAATAGCTTACTAAGCTAAAAATCCGAGTCCCTTTGATCTGCAGAACCCCCAAAGGCTGAAAAGGATCCATAAAACTGTTAGGGAATCCACACTGGTGACCCACTTTAAGGACACAGTAGGAGGAGGCACACCACACCACACACAGAGGAGAATTAAATTAATACAGAGGAGAGTAGGGGTGGGTGAGGTTATTCCATGGAAACCAGGCCATGCAAGCACACGCAGGCACGGTGAAAGCAAGGCTGGATTTAGGAACGGTTTTAGGAAAAACCACCAACAAAAACACCACCACACGAGGGTCCAGCTACAAAACTGTCCCCCACTGTTACCTCTGTCTAGCGGAGATCCCATCATATACAAGATAAAGGAAAGAAAACTGGTTAACCAACAATAAAACAAGCAGGCAAAACATGACATCAACTTGAATGGTTAGGCTTGCCAAGAGCAAGGAAAGTTTGGAGCAACCAGGTGGTTGCTGTGACTGGAAGCCTACAGAGATATCCCAGCAGGTGTTAGGCCATAGCTTCTCCACTGTCTGCAGCTGATGTCTCTCATCCACCTCAGTTTTTTTGTTTTTTTATATTATTTTTTGAGAGAGAACTCACCATTGTATGTGATGGCAGAGTGGGGATGAGCTCAGCTAATAATTTAGATGAAAATTTAACCTGTATCTGGCTTGGAAACCACAAGAAAAGAGACAAAAATAATCATACAGATCACCAAAAAACCATAGTTTCCAGGGAAAAATATTTCAGCTCTATCAATCACATAAAATTGTTCCCAGTAACTCTGCCTTTACCACCTGGAGAGGACCAGGAATTTAGTAAGAGGTGACTCACTACCAGCAGACAACATGTTAATGGCCTTCATTTGATGCAAGAAAAGAGCCATTTATGCTTATGGGGTACCAGGTTGAAATATCATTTCCTCAAAAAATGGTTTTGCTTCCTTTCCTGTCGAGATGGATCCAAAGCAAAAATTACATTGATGCTGATGTGAAGAACAAACATCTGGTTTTCCTTTGAACCAGAGGCAGGATTTGGAGAGAAAGCAGCTCCCTGTGACTGCTGCTGGAGGTGTTGCCAGCAGCATCTCACCTGCTCCTGTGATTTATTGCCTCTCCCTCTGATTGCCTCTCTTGGGCAGCATTGATCATAAACTAGCTATTAGCATCTTGCTTGATGAATCCCATGAAAAAGTTCCAGAAGGTGGTTTATTAATTTTTATGGGTTTCTTTTCTGCACTTAAAATTCACAGTCAGCATCAAACAGCTCAAAATATTCCTCATAAGAGGAAAGCACATCCATAGACTAACAATAAAAAAGGATATTAAGTTAGTTGGTCTCTGAAATATAAAGACAGATGGGAGGGAGAAGCATTTACCCATTTGTACCTTACTTTGAGCAAACATAGTAAAAAAATGTTATTTATTTAGATTTAAACCAGCATCTCGTTGTCACTAACCCAGGGAACACAAGCTATAACGACAGTCCTCAGCTGCCTGTAGCTTGGGGAAAAGGGAATTTCTCCTACTGATTTTAAGAGAAAATAACAACTGCCCTGATCAATCAGATTTTCAGGTTCCCAGCAGTAGAACAGAAGCTTTAAGAACTTCCCAACTCTCCCATTCATTTTCCTCTGTCTCAGTGAGAAGCTGTGTTTGATTGCTTTCCATGAACTTTGTGGGAAGCTCACCCCACTATGGGAAAAGATCAAAGCATCCTTTTCCCAGGAGCTGTTCCCCACCATGAAACATTACTGCAAGGAATTATATATAACCTTCAGGAAAAAGAATATATATATTAAAAAAAAAAAATCAATCTGTCAACTTCACAAAGCACAATGTGGGCTGTTGTCATCCCTCAAAGTTCAAGGTGATTGACCCAAAGTCAATCTAATCCTCACTAACACTTCAAAACATCCTTTTCCACATCCCACCTTCCCTTCCAGCACGCTCCCATTCAGAAAGGTAAAGCATGGCATCAGAACACCCAAGGAAAAATCCATTTTCAAACCTCCACCTTCTTTTAGAGACAAGTCATCTCCACAAATTGATTACCCACACCCTTTTGTATCTGAGCACAAGGTAATTCTCAAAGTTAAAACAGTCAAAACTCTTCTACTTAACATTTTTTCCCATGTTAAATCCACTCCCAAACCAGAGCAATTGGTTAAGATCACTCAGTACACCCCAAAAAAACCACTTAAACCCGAGCATTCACGAGTGAGCAAGCCATGGGGAACACTTTACAATTTACAAAATACAATGATGTATTTTTTAATCAAGCAGTAGATTCATGTTTAACAAGCACACAGACGAGCAGACATCCAAATTAACATGTAAAAAGAAAAAAATAAATCCAAGTATCTCACTGCTTTTGGCAAAAGCATGGCTGTGTGAGTTCAGTGAGAAGCCACCAGTCCAGTCTCAGTGGAGCAAAACGTGTGACAGGTGTACAGGCAGATTCTCTTACAGTTCCAGAACGATGACAAGTCAAAAAACTAACTCAAATTCAAGATACAGAACTTGATTTGCCCTTCCCAACTCAGGCTCCAAGCTCCATCAGCACCAAGATGTGGTTTAACAGATCAATGCAGTCACCAAGCTTCCCCAAACCCACGTGCTAGAGGAAAAAGTCGTGTGCTGCATGCAGGCAACTCCCCAGAGTGTTTTTATGTACAGGCTGGCTGCAAAGCACCCAAAGATACATCACAAATTTCACACATTCCACTCCAAAACTGATCTGCTGCTGGAGCCTCCCTTAAACTAAGGGCATGCTACAGCTTCCAAGTAACAAAGGATTGGTGGAAAACCCCATGGAATCCTGATGTTCCTCACCAAACAGTACCTTTATTTTGGATTTTAAAATTGTTTTCCCAGGGCTGAGTGCGGAGTGAAACGTGGTAATATTGAATTATGCAAATCTGAAAAATAAAGGTGTATTTTTGCACATGGAAGGATGTCTTCTCTGCAGAGGCAGAGATGGGCACAAGGTGCTGGTGTAGAAAAGTCTGCAAGTCTAGAAAAGCACCACCTAAATCCTGGCAGCTCCACTTCATCTGGCATTCCAGAAACTACAGCACTTAATTTGGGAAGAACATATTCTTGGGAAATTCCTCAGAGCTGCCAGTTTGGGTTTCCATCTGGAGAAGGAAAGGATGTTTTGGGCACATTTTCTCCTGTAACTTATGTTTCAGCACCACATTTGTACTTCCATGAACCAAAGCTTCAGGAATTTATGTGACCACTTATGCCTTCCAAAACAACAATAAAATAAATATCCCTGAGATGTAACGGGTATTTGTCCAGAACCAGGAAGCAATTCTGTCAATTAGCAAGGGATGCTAGATGAAGAATAAAACACCTTTTATTGAACAAAACATCATCCTAATCGCTTTGTTCCTTTTGAACATCAACACTTTTGGCTGACCAATATTGTGTGAGCAAATACAAGCCCATAGTGTAGAGTGAAGTCACCTGGATGCAAAGCAATTCTCTTTCAGTCCCAAAGGACCACCTTCAGTTATAGAAAACATTAAAATAAGGCATTTATAAATGTATTTCTTTCATGGTTAACTGTAGGCATGTAGGAAAAGCAATCCTATTTGCCAGCAGGACAGGTGTGGATTATTGCAGCTTTTCCCAAGCAGGGCTGTTGAAAATCCAGGGAAATATATACTGAGGGACTTGGTAGCAGACAAGGGAAAACCTTAATAAATTCCAGTGCAAAGCAGCTTGCTGTGGTAATTAAAAATATGAATGCTTTCAACTCTGTCTGCATCAAAACACTGAACTGAAAAAAGGAGGATTTTAAATTTTGCTCCTTTTTTTTTAAGATTTGAACTCTAAAGAGTCAAAGCCATGTATCTAGAGAGTTCAGGCACCTCACTTTAAGAAAAATGAATAAAGAAACAAAAAGGCTTTCAGGATCAAATTTTAAAGCTGAGCCTTTCAGCCCAAATGTTCAAAAGTTCTTTAGGGAAAAAGAGAGAGGGGAGGCCTCTCTGTGCTATGAAACAGACAAAAATGGGGCTTGGGGAAAAACTGAGGGATTTAAGAGTTTTTCAAGTCAGTTCTATAACGTGGATGCAAAAGAAGTAATTTTAAATGCACCGCCTGATTTTTTATATCACTTTTTCTATATCATTAAATAAGAAAAAAGTGTTTGAGGCTGTGATAGAAACAGCAGAAGGACCTTTTGAAACTCATCAACCTCTTTTAGCCATGGGAAGGCTCACATTATCTGGAGCCACTAGGAATGATAATTTCTGTTGTGTGCCAGCAACACAGGCAACCACACACAAGTTCTCCATGGCAAATTGCGGCGGCTGAGTGCTGACCTAAGAAAACGCTTAAAATTTACTGTTGGCAGATAATACCTTCCAAGAGTATATTTTAATCAAGAGGTTTTAAGAACTTTTGGTTTTGGGGGGGTTATTTTAGCTGTGTATCTATAGAGGGGCACATAAATACAGAGCTGGACATGGGTGAGGTTGTCCTGCACATTCTCTCACCCTAAATTTGAGCACATCCAGATAATGAAAACCTGGGCAGCAATTATTACTGCAGGTGTACTCCTGTGACTGGAAAGAGAAATCTGCATTCCCTCCCTTCCAGCAAAGGCTGTAAATATTCAAACCACCTTTCAAACAAAGGGCACCTGAAATGCAAGGCCAGCATTCTGTACAACCCAGAAAAATCAACGACACAGACTTCCCCGACCCTCGGCAGGCAGCGGAGCCACTCATGCAAGGGAGAAACCCCTGCAGGAAAAGCAAATAGGAAATGCCTTGGAAAAGGGACAGTCTACACTGGTGCTCCCCTCAGCCCTCTGCAGGGTAATGAAATCACAATCTGCAGGACCTCTGGGGCATTTTGCATTGAAATTTAATGGGGAGGATTGAAATTAGGGCCCTTGATGGCCTACATCAAGCTTCTAAAATGAGCTGAGTTTTGCCACCTTTGAATTTAAACAGCTGTTTAGGTCTCTGACGGAAATTGGGATGCTGCTCTCCCTCATCTCAGCCTGCGTTACCAAGATGAACTCATTGTGTTGATAATGCACTGCTCCTTCTCTCAGGCAGAAATCCCAGTGTGAAAGGACACCAGGAGGAAAATAGTAATTCTTTATAAAAAGTGATTATTAAACATTGGCTCAGTTGATGAGGTTGGGGCTGTACACCACCAAAATCTTGCCAATTCTCTTTCCCTCTCTCAATCCTTTTTTTTCCTTCACCTGCTTCTCCCATCCAGCTTTTACCTCATTTTGTAGCCAAGTAAGTTCAAGCATCTCCTGAAACATTCCCTGCCACTCTCTCCATCCATACCCCCTTG